AGAAGAAAGAAGAAAGAAGAAGAAGAAGAAGAAGAAGAAGAAGAAGAAGAAGAAGAAGAAGAAGAAGAAGAAGAAGAAGAAGAAGAAGAAGAAGACTACTCTTATTTAGCATATAAAAATACACACATCTGTGCATCTCTCTCTCAGGCTACTGTATTACTGCACATGCATCCTCTTAGTCACTAACTGCAAGCAACCTTGTATATAAGACTCCTCCTAACCTCCTTCTTTCTATAAATCCAGAGATAAGGCTCTGACAAGGACAAGCGGGCAAGAGAAAAGCAAAGCCCACAAAGGAATGTGCACCTGGACAGTGGTGCCCGGGTTAGGGTCTTGTGGCTTGGGATTCATTTGTGACAATCCAGAGAGCCAATCAAGTTGTGACAAGTCCCATGTAGGAGGATCTTTACCTGGAAAAAGAGCCGGAAGAGAAAGGACCCATGGGCATCTCTCACCTCTCACGGGGCAGCTTTCGGTCTCCTGTTTTTTTCCTTCTTACAAATAAAGTGTTTTCCCTTTTAAACTCTGTTCCTTTAATTCATTACTGGTCCTCAGTTTAGGCCCTCGGTTGGGTGCAGAGCAGTGGTGTGGTGTGCACCTCTGGACACAAACAGGACAGTGTTAAGAGATGTGAGTGTGAGGAGGCTGGCTGCCACTGTCTCAAGGAGAGGGTATGGGAAGGGGCTCATCAGGGTAAGGCTGAGTTAATCATACCCTTGTTCGTGGCATGGTAGTTCTAGCTCATTCCTGCTTTCTTTATTCTATTTTGTCCCCACACCCCACTCCCACTACTTACGTAGGTGAAACCATGTTCGCAAATGTGGATTGTGTCCTTTGTCTGCATCATCCTTTAAACATCTGAATTATCCTTTTGTCAGGTAAAAGGGCCGAAGACCAAGACCAGACCAGGCCACAACAAGCCTTTATTAGGGGAATAAATCTGCTGGGTTGTCTCTGAACAAAGGAGAGCCAAAGCAATATGGCTGGGGTAGGGAGAGTCTTTTATAGAGACTGGGGTGGGGTTTGTAGGGGCAGAGGCGGGGTTGAGTGAGGTAGTGACTAGGGAATGGAGGAGCCCATGATGTCTCTAGGTGGTAGGAGGTGAGCCAGTATTAGGTTACTTTCTAGGCGGGAACAGGGACATGCTGGGAAGAAGGGTTTATTCTTTGGTGGGAGCAACCATCTTGGCATGACATCACACAGGGGAGGGGGCAAGGCACCATAGGAAGAGGGCAGCTACTATACATAATAACTGCTGAGGTGGTGGGAGACCTATCACCTTTTATGTGCATGGATTCTTAATTTCCATAAATGGTAGATTTATGACTCTTGTTGCCAAGTGTTAGGCTTTAGCTAAACAGTGACGCCTAAAACTCTCATGAAATCAGAAGTATAGCTTTTGAAATGTAATTGGATCACAGGAGTCCTAAACTCATAGCTAAGTGTGCAGTTAGGTCTGGTCTCAAGAGTCCTGCCACTGCCGGTGTGACCTGGAAGGGTGCATCTCCCTCCCCAGCTCTTCTCTTCCTCTGCTTCCTGGCCACCCTGGAATGAGCACCTGTCCTCTGCCAGTCCCTTCCACCATGTCATTTTTGCCTTGGAGCCAGCTGATCATGTACTGAAAACAGGAAGCCAAAATAAGCCTCTCTACTTCAAGTTGCAGATGAGGAAAGTGACTAAGACACCAAGCACTATATTTAAATACTCATCCATGTCACTATATTTTGAAGATCCATCTAGTACAATTAGAAGCAATGGCTGGAGATTTAGCTCAGTGGCATCATGCCTGCCTCGAAGTGCAAGGTCCTGAGTTCGATCCCTGGCACACACACACACAAAAAGAAGCAATGGAGAAGAAGTCACTCTCTTCACTGCATTTAATTCTAAACATTATTCTACAGTTATTCGTGCTTCCATTGTCCTAAAAAGGGTGGAAAATGAAATAACAAAAGCTCAGGAGATCCCTGATGCTCTTGGCAAGAGCACAAGCACGTTTGATCTCCTAGCCTGACCTTTTGTCTCCTTTATCCTACTCCCACCTCATTACAGGTTCATAAATAAGCACTACACATCATAAATATAATGAAGATCAGAGTTAATTCTGGGGCCAGCATGAATGTTGAGCCCCTAAGATGACTCAGCACCCTGTCAATCATTCCTGTCAATCACACCTAAAGATTTGGTGGGAGGCACCTAAGGCAGAGTTGTCTGGCTTTAAATTGCAAAAGCCTCATTTATCCAGGCCTTTTTGTTGCTGTTGCTTCTTCTGTGTGCTTTGACCATTATGCAGTGCTTTTCTATCACCTTGGCACCTTTTTCCATCTGTGCCCTGTGTGGCATGGACTTGTCCTGAGCACAACTTCCCATGATCTTCAATAAATGTAGTTGCTTGCTCTCTACTACTGGGTACAGTTGGCAATTCTTTCCTTGTCACACATAAGAACCTGGATGATTACCGACCCATTCCACTGTAACATATCCATATGTAAATTGAATCCATGATTCCAACTACTGCACCTGCTTTTCTTTTTACCCATTCTCTGAAGTACATTCAAGTTGTTGCCCCTCCCAGGGACCCCTTTTCATTAAAAGGTGCAGCAAAATGGGAAGGACCTGGGTCCAAGCCATAATTTAGTTTCTAACGAGCTTAATGACCTCAGCCTTTATATCTTCACCGAGGACCTCAATTCCTCCCGAAAATCAGGTCCTAGAATGTACAGTGGAGTCCATGGGCTACACCAGGCACACAAACCTGCCACTTGGTCCTCCCTGTGTTCTACTGAGAATTTGTAATAACTAACAGAAGTTGAGAACTGCCATAGAACAGACACTGTTCTAAGTGCTTTACATGATCAGCATATTTAAATCTCACCATCACCCTATGAAGCAGATACAACTAAAAATATCGAAGTACAAAAAAAGTGAAAGCAAAACACATTTGTCAAAGTCCACACAGCCAGGAAGTGGTAGAGCTGGGATTTTAGCCAAGTAAGGTGGCCCAAACTCCTGACACAGTAACAAAATTCACACAAATAATCTGCAGCACCAGTTCCTCTTAAAAATGCAGGACATTGTGTCTCAGCCTTTTGGCTAAGATCAAGTGTAAAAATACAGGACATTTTCCAAGATCTGGGAACCCTAGGCCCACCTTTCCATGGAGCTACATTACACTTGGTATAAGGGCTGCTCACTACACAAATCCTACACTCTCTCCCTCAGTCTCCACCTCTCCTACTGCCTTCCAGGCAGCCCGATTTACTCAATTTAGGGAGTTAGGAAAGAGTACTGGATATTTACCATAAAGAAATGAAAACTTACTGTTTTAGTTTCTTTTTCTCATTGTTAAGACAAAATACCCACCACCCAAAGTTAAAGGAGGAAAGGTTTATTTAGCTCATAGTTTGTAGAGGTTTTAGTTCATAGTTGGCTGGCTCCAAGGCAGTGTGGCATGTGGCAGAGGGACATCGCAGAGGAGAAACAGTTCATAGTGAGCAGAAGGCAGCAAGGGGCAAGCAACAAGACAAGCAAGCACCCTCTTTCTGTCCCTTGTATTTATCCAGGCTACATGCTCTTAGGGCAGGTAGCACTCAGGCCCAGAGTGGGATACCCTTCATCCCAGCATCACACACTTGAGATCCAGTCACCTCCTGAAAGCCCCACCTATTACCACATGAGGCTTTGGGGGGACATCTAGATACAAGTCAACATATTCTTACAAAAACCTGTACACAAATATTCACAGCAGCTTTATATGGAATAGTTCAGAACTAAACCTAAACATCAACAGGTGAGTGGATAAACAAACTGTAGGACACCACACCACAGAACACTACCCAGCAACAAAATGAGCAAGGGTGATACACACAATCTGGACGGCTCTCAAGAATGTTATGATGAGTGAAAAAGAGCCAATATCAAAGGACTATACACTACATTATCCGGTTTAGCTCACATTCTTAAAAGAATTATAGAAATGGAAGATTTGTGAGGGGGGGTAGGGCAAAGGGGTGGCAGTAAAGGAGAAGGACAAAGTGGTTCCCTTGTGGTCTGGGAGCAATTTTGCATCCTGAAGTAGACAGATGATGAAATTTTACAGAACTCTATGTAAACCCACAGGAGAGCAATTAACAGCTGATGAAATCCACAGGTCTATACTCTAATTACTATAATGTCAGTTTTCTGGTTTAGTAATAAGACTATCATAATGTAAGATGGTACCAACTGAAGAAGCTGCGAAAAGGGTTATAGGCTCACTGGACTATTTTTGCAACTTCTTGTGAGCCTGCCATTATTTCAAAACAGAAGGTTGTTTAATGTGGGAGAAAAACAAAGATTCCCAGAGTGCTTTTGCTCACATATATACAGTGCATGCTCTTGACAAAGTCAGAGACCTCCATAGGGACAGAGGACAAACAAATTCCAGGGCCCTTAGCTGATAGGTCTCCCACTACCTCAGCAGCTATTATGTATAGTAGCGGCCCTCTTCCTATTGTGCTTTGTCCCCTCCCCTGTGTGATGTCACGCCAAGGTGGTTGCTCCCACCAAAGAACAAACCCTTCTTCCCAGCATGCCCCTGTTCCCACCTAGAGAGTAACCTAATACTGGCTTACCTCCTACCACCTAGTGACATCACCAGCTCCCCCATTCCCTAGCCACTACCTCAGTCAACCCCACCTCAGCTCCTACAAGCCCCACCCCTGCTCCTATAAAAGGCACTTGCTGTCCTGGCCATATTGCTTTTGTCTCTCCTTTGTTCAGAGACAGCCCGGCAGATCTGTTCCCCAAATAAAGGCTTGTTGTGACCTGGTCTGGTCTTGGTTTTCGGCCCTTTTACCTGACATTAGCCAGTTACTCATTGAAAGGATGATTTGTGTTTTCTTTTCATGGGACTGGAACTGCCCCCTCAAGCCAAGTGGATTCCTTAGGAGCTAAAAGCCAGTACTGAGCTAATGAGACCATACTTCAGCTGACCAGGGAGGCTGCCCTTGGGAGGCAGGCCTGTGTGAGAGTTCTCTTCACACCTCTGCCTTCAGATCTTCAGGTTTAAGGGCTCTCTTGTTAGGAAGCCAGCTTGATCTCGGTCAGCGCTGTGCCCCCCTTCATTTTCTATTACTTTCCAATTAAAGCTTTTCTTCTGCAAACTCTGGCTGAATGTCTGCCTTAATTCCATGGATTCACAGGTGCTACCTCGGTCACTCCTCACAGTAATCCTATCAAGCTGAATCTTTTCCTATTCCCCTTTCACAGTCCAGAAGGGTGAGCTCGAAGAAGGGACTCAGTTGCTAGTCACCGGAGGAGGAAGAGGAGACCACGCCTTCAGCTCCAGCCTTTAGGAGCCTAGACCTTGGCATCTGAATTACCCCGCAGGCCCGGGCCCTTCCCTAGTTCCTTCCCCGTTCCTGGCGGTGAGGGTGACATAGGACGGGTTATCGTACACCACTCCCCAGGACAGTGGTGGTGGGGGCGAGGGGGAAGATGAGGGGGCCTCGAGCCCAGCTGCCACACCTGCCACCCCGCGCTCACCGGGCCGCTGTCCCGCGAAGGCCGCGGCTGCTTGTTCCCTGCCGCCTGGGTGGCGTCTGCGCCGCGTCTCGGTCTCCCGGAGACCGCGCTTCCCGGGAGCTCCGCGCGCCCGCCAGCCTGGGGAGGGGAAGGAGGCGCCTTGCTGCTCCCGTGTTTCCATGTGCAGGGACGATTTTACCATAAGCTGGACTGGGCTTTTCCACCGCCGATTTAAAAGCAAAGATACAAACTTACTGCAGAAGAGAAAGGAAGCAGGTGGAAGGAGCAAGTGGAGTCGCCGAGCAACCGGGGCTTGCCCTTCTCCCCCAGGCCCAGGGCTGCGCCCTCCACGCGGCCGCCGGCTGGTGTCCGGGACCCTCTCAGCCTTCCCGCGGAGATGTCACCGTCCAGCTGGCATTGGCGGGCGATCCTCGTGTAGATAAGGATCGAAGGAGGATTCCTTTTGGTTTCGCGAAATTCACTACTTCGGAGTGTTCCTAATTTAGATGCAAAGAGTTGTTTCCAGAGGAAATAGGAAGAAAGCATTCTCTGTCTCAAAAGTATGGCAGTCATCAAATTATGTTTATCTAGTGGGATAACCTTTTAGTCCTTTTTGGTAGGATCTTCAAACTCTGGGAATATACACTACACCTTAGGGAATCGAACACCTGGATCGAAGCAAAGGCCCGCTGGCCTGATCTGGTTCCGGCGCTATCGCTGGCTCTGGGAGCCGGCTATCTTTCTGCACAGAGGAGACCCCTGGACTCCACTCCTGAGGTGCAGCTTGGTTCCACCATTTAACAAATGCACTCCTGGGCATTGTTACTTAAGCTTTTTTCTTAAACTCCATTAATTACCTACTCTGATAATGCAAAAATATTATTGTATTTACCAACAGAGTAATTGAAAGGATTCAATGAATGTGGAGTTTAACACAGTACTGACAATTAAAAATCGCTCAAGAACTACTGAGTAGTAGTATTTCCAGCTGTGAAATATTTCTCCTACTTCATAGTTATTTAAGGTTATGGTTAGAGGAGAAATCTGGAAAAATCACCTTTACAAATAATCCAATTATTGTTCTTATCTTCTATACTAGTGTGATAGCAAATTCAAACTTTTGTTATTTTGAGGAGATAGGTATTTTTTCTGGTAGTACTAGAGAGACTGAACCCACAGCCTCACAATGCTAGCCAAGTGCTCTTCCATTAAGATACATCCCCAGAACTTTATTTTTTATTTTGAGACAGAGTCACTAGTTTGCTCAGGATGGCCTCAAATTTGCAATCCTCCTGCCTCAGCCTCCTAGGTAGCTAGGATTACAGGCATGCATGAAGTAGGTAGGATTTCTATAGAGAACAGAAGGGAAAGATTATTGTAGATCGGTAAGTTAATTAGATATCTTGTTGGCAGTTAGACAGGGCCTCCCTTAAGGCGCCAGCCCTCCAGGAGCCAACATGAACAGTTGAGGCACATTCACTGGTTAGCATTATAAAAAGAGGAGGTATTACTTAGCCTGAGGGTAGATAGCAGTGATTGATATTCTAAATAGAAAATTCCTTCTATGTGACTTATTTTCCCCTTAGATCCCCATTTAATCAATATTACCTGGGTGACTGTACTTGTAATCTTATTTGTTGGTCATGGTTTTGTCCTGGAACCTCATGCCCACCTTGTAAATTTTCATTGGGTCTTATAGTTTTGTCCCAGTTTGTACCCGCCTCACCACATGGCTTTGCTGTATAAAACATCTTGGAAAAGTGCGGTGGGTGTCCAAGGGGGACTTTCCGGTCCCCCTTCTGTCTCTCTTAGAAGCTTTCTTTCTCTCAATAAATTTTTCTTACTCTTTTTTTTTTTTTTTTTTTGGAACCAGGGATCGAACTCGGGTCCTTGTGCTTGCGCAGCAGGCAGCAAAACCACTGAGCTAAATCCCCAGCCCCTAATTTTTCTTACTCTTAACATCCATTGTTCCCAGAATTCATTTTTTGATTTTAGAGAACATGAAGTTGTGTTTTGAGTATCTAGTAGGTTTGAGAGTTACATCTCTTCCCTCTTGTCAGGTAAAAGAGCTGAAACTCAAGACCAGACCAGTAGCACAACAAGCCTTTATTAAGGAGAAGGGACAATCTGCCAGGCTGCTTCTGAACAAAGGAGTGTAGCAGCATGGCAGGGACTGGAGTGCCTTTATAGAGGTTGGGGGATTGGGTGACATGATGGTGAAGGATTAGAGGGTTTGTGAGGTGTGCCACCAAGGGATTGGAGGAACTTGTGACATCACTAGTTGCCAGGGAGGGAGCAAGTATCAGATTACTCTTTTGGAGGGAAGAGGGGCATGTTGGGAAGAAGAAGGTTGTCTTTTGGTGGGAGAAGCCATTTTGGGGGCTAGGTTTAGGTGGGAATGCAGTGGATTGTGGGAAGAAGAAGGGGACCTTGTGGCAGTGAGGTAGAAAGAGGTGGCACAGATAACTTGGAACAGATAATTATTGCAAAATATTTGTTAATGAACTCTGTGTTAAAACCCTGTTTGAAACTTGTCCCTGTTTGAAAACTCTGGGTGGGCCTTCTCCCTCTTGTGGGGCAGCCTGTTCCCAGAGACATTAGAAACTAGCCTTAAAGTGTGTTTATCTAAGTACCCCATACCTAATGGTGCTGTACCACACCCTTGCTATATTCTGTAATCACAACTTATGCTACCCTTGCCATCTAATGCTGCTTTATCATGCCCTTGCCACATTCTGGTGTGTAATCACAAGTTAAGTTGCCCTGTAAAAGGTATAAAAAGGAAAAATGGTCTTAACTCGTGATCAGCCTTGTTTCCTGAGGCTGTCCATTGCCTGGCAATAAACTTTTTTGTTTTACCCAACTCTCCTGTCTCTGAAAGATCATTTTGATTTGATGCAACAGTGGGAAATGGGGCATTATGGGAAGGAGAAGGCACCTATTATATGTAGCAGCCATTTTAAGGGGAGGGAAATCTCACCTATAACTATAAAGATAGGAATTTCCTGCTAGATCTCAAATATTGGATTTTAATCTAACTTACAATTTGCTTCTGTACCCCTGTGCTTGCTCAAAGATGAGATCATGACATTCTATTGTGTGGTTTTTCCCTTTAAAAACTGGACTTGACTGCTTGACTGGTACCAAGGAAGATGGGAGCACAAGTTCATCGTTGGTTACTGACTATAAAGGACTTTTAATTTAGACATTTTCGTGGTGTGATTCTTTTCGCTAAAATGGCTATAACACTTAAGTGGTGGAAAAGCTGAGGGGTTTTTAGGCTTCACCTATCAGGACTTTAATCCTAGGACTCCACTCACCTCCATGACTGCTACAGGCTGGGAACCTTAATTCCTCCAAGCAGCAGTATTGGGATATTGGGGGGAGGGGACTTGAGTCCTGGGGACAGAGCCTTTTTCAAGGAATAGCTTTAGCTGTCTTGGGAGATTGGCCCCCTTTTCTTCTTCCCAAGCCCCCACTTCTGCTACTGTTCCCACCAAGAGTTGAAGCAATGTTCTTGGACTTTGTACCCTCCAGAACCATGAGCTAAAATAACCTCTGCTCTTTATAAATCACCCCACCTCAGGCATTCTGTTATAGCAACAGAAAATGGACAAAGGCAATGACCTAATCACCTTCAAAGGCCCTACCTTCTACTACCATTGCCTTGGGGATTTCAGCATGTGAATCTTGGAGGACACAAACATTCAGACCACAGCATATGGTAACTTGCAAGGAGCACTACAAATGTTGGTTAATGCACATGCGGTTTCTGAGGACCTGCAGGATACACACCAAAATCATCCATGGGACAAAACTCCTGGGTTTGTCCTTGGAGTAACTGGACTTTGCCCTCTGTGTTGTTGACAGTGTGTGAAACAGGACAGGAACAAGCAGACACCCAATGGACTAAAACACACCCTGAGTTGCACAAGCATTACCATGAATCATCTCATTGTAGAAAGTAAATATAGCGTGACAACGGTCTAGAGTTGGTCAAAGTAAAAAAGGACATTTCAGTTACTGACAGAATAAAGGAAACTAGATAATCATGCTGATACCAGAGGGAATCCTTTGATGTGTGTTCATTTTCTTTTAAAATTCTTGATAATTATAAAGTGATTTGAACCTGAATAGCCAGCCTAATAGGTTTCTGCTGGTTTGGGACAACTAACTAAAATATTTTAAAATCTCTCCACTTCAGATATGTACACAATTCAAACTAATGGTTCCACTTTGTTTGGGTCAGAACATATAGAATAGTGCTAAGAGAATGGAAGTTAGGTACCAGAGTGCCAGGATTTAAATGCTAGCCTTATGTGGGACCAAAATGACTCCATTTTGGAGCCGTCTCCTTTGTTCTCTCAAATTTGTGCTTAAACTAGGAATTCACCACTTGAAATTCCTGAGTTTATTA